CCCACCACAGACCAGTACCCAAAGTTAGAACCTGTGTCCCAACCAGCCACAGCATCAGGCATGCAGCAGGCGCTCATAAACATTCATTACATGAGCAAATGCTGATCAGAGCCAATGCTAGGAAGAGGTAGGGTGAAACAATATGTGAAAGCTAAGGAAGACGGAAATGCCCAGCACCCTCCCTGCCACTGGTTCTAAACTTGTGTTGTTAGGGCCAGGCACCAGGGCTCACGACTGTAATCCCAACACTTTGGGAAGCCGAGGAGGGTGGATCACCTGAGGTTTGGAGTTTGAGACCAGCCTGACCAATATGGTGAAACCCTGTCTCTTTTAAAAAAAATAAAAGAAAAAAAAATTGTGTTGTTTACGTTCTTAAAAATTAGGACTCCCAAAGAGCTTTTGCTTATGTGGCTTCTATGTTACCGTTTTGTGGGTTTTTTCTGAGATAGGGTCTTGCTCTGGCGCCCAGGCTGAAGCGCAGTGGTGCAATCATGGCTCACTGCAAACTCGAACTCCTGGCCTCAAGCCATCCTCCCACCTCAGCCTCCCAAAATGCTGGGATTACAGGTGTGAGCCACTGCGTGCTAATAATTTGTTTTTTAAATAGAGACAGGGTCTCTATTTTTGTAAAGACAGGGTTTCCCTGTGTTGCCCAGGTCTTGGTCTTTAACTCCTGGCTTCAAGTGATCCTTCCTCCTTGGCCTCCCAAAGTGCTGGGATTTCGGGTTTGAGCCACCATGCCTGGCCGTAAATAATATTTTTATGGAAAACACATACACATACACACACACACACCCCCCCCTCTATTCCGTTTTTGTTTTTTCTTTTTTGAGACGGAGTCTCGCTATGTTGCCAGGCTGGAGTGTAGTGGCCCAATCTCGGCTCACTGCAACCTCCACCTTCTGGGTTCAAATATTTTTAACAACCCATTTACAGGCAAGGAGAATGAGGCCTGGAGAGGTTAAGGGACTGGCCCACAGAGGAAGCACCAGTCATCTTTCCACAAAACCACAGTTTCCCAAATGCAGAAATCTTGGACAAGGGGCCTCCTGCCAAACCTGAGAGTAACAAATTTCAGCAAATAAAAGGAAGAACCATTTCCAATGGCATCCTTGAATACTGAGGAGGCAGGGCTGGCAGAATCCATCAATGGGCCTCCAGAGGCCTACCACTTGGAGCTGGCAACAGTGCTGAGAGTGGCACTGCCTCTGCAGACTGTGACCAGGACCCGGTGGGGCCCTACATCTGGAAGCAGAGGTGGTAGGTGGGGGAGGGGTGCTACCAGGAAGCAAGATGTGCATGCTGCCTGCTGGGGGCATGAAGTCAAAGTCCCCTCCTTCCCAAAGCGGCTAAGCCAGCCCTACTGCCCTTATCAGCATCAACACATGCCTGGAATGTGGGACTTTGGCAACAACCCTCTCCCCTCAGCCTGCACGGGGCTGACGCCTGGTCCTTGGGCCCGGGTTCACCTACCACAGCCAGAGGACAACCGCCTTGCAGCACCAGAACCTGCGCCCCCAGCCCATCGACCAGGAGACAACCCACCACAAGTCGCAGAGAGAAGCTACCCTGCCTGCATCCCCATACCACCAAGGCCATGGCTGAGTACCTCGTTTTTCCACACTCAAAGAATCCCAAGAGCTCAACTCAGCTCTGGTCCCTGCAACAGCCAGACCATCCCCCACATGGGTCTCCTGGAGGTGTTCGGCAAAGGCACAGGCTGCCGTGGGGCAGAAGATTCCCACATACCAGACAGTTAAGGAGTAGCATGTGACTCGAAGGATGAGGACGGCCCAGAGAATGCTCTCTGGCCCCTGGTCCTTGGGAGGTTGCTGGGACACCTGCAGGGGACCACCATTCCACTCTGGGAGCCAGACTCCCTGGCTTTGTCCAGAGCAGCCACCCCACCACCCCACTCAAAATGAAAATCTCAGCTCCCCTCCAGCCCAAGTACTGCTCCGAGTAAGGAGCCCTCACTCACAAACGTGCCCAAGGCTTTCACACACTTCACCTGGAGCTTCTCCACCCATTCCCTAGCTGCATGATTCTCTTTAACTTCTCTGAGTCACATGTACAATAAGGACTGACAAAATGATTAGGACCGCACTGATGTGTTCTGAAGACTGAATCGGGTATAAAGTGCCCACTGCCAGGCTGAGCCCAGGAACAAGCCTGGGGTGAGCGCTCACCTTCTTCACCATTACCTTCTTGGCCTTCTATCGGAACTCTGTGGGGACCATCCTCCTCCCAGCTTTTAAGCCAGGTTCCCATGGTACCAGCCAGCCAGAAACTATAATACTGTATCAGCTGCTGCCACAAAGGGGAAGGGCCATGGGGTCCTGGGGAGGGCTGGGGTGAAGGGGCACAAGAGCTAGGGCAGAAATCTGCCCTCAGACCACTCACACAGGACAGGACAGCCTGAGCCCAGCTACCCAAGATGTGTGCCACCCACTTCTTCCTCAGACCCTATTCCCATTCCCATCTCCTCTACTGCGCTCCCCCCCAACTCCTCCTCTCCCGCCAAGTTGCTATCCCTTCTCTAAAGCACAGGACTTACTACCCAGGATACTGACCAGAACCACACCCAGGGACCTTACCTGTTCCCTCGTACAATGGTCCGCTCCTAGCAGGCAGGAGCCGTCTTATATTCTTTCTCCCTAAAATACAAACTAAACCCCAGGACAACCCATTGTCTGTTCCAGCAAAGGAGGCCAGGCCTAGCCAGGCCCTACCTGAAGCTCTGCCTTCTGTGCCCCTTCAGTCCCCTCCTACTTTTCCTTCTCTGTCCCTATATACCTGGCCCAGATAACACAGCCCAGAAAATGAACCTCAGGGACGAATCTCTTCTCTTCTAGGGAGAAGGCAGAGGTCCCAGGAGTCCGAGGGGCCCCCATTATTGGCCACCTCTGCTCAACCCAAACTTCACTATGTCAGGCCCTGCCAGGCTACATACAGGCCAACAAGAGCCCAAGAATGCAGCCAGGAAACCAGGTGAGGCAGACTGTGAAAGCCCAGGCTACAGCCGAGAGCTGTCAGTGGCTCTCTAGAGTACCTCCCAGGAGGAGCCCCCAGTGCACATGGGCTAGGTTCCTCCTGCTGCTCACCCTCTGTGCCTAGTAACTACCCAAGAATCCACATGAATGATTCACTGAGTAACTGCTGACCCCAATGGGCCCCTGGAGTAAAGCAGTTAGTGAGCACTGCAGGTAACAGCGCGGGCTACCCATCCTTATGCCCGTGGATTCTATTATCAACAAAGAGGCTTCACCTGCTAAAGACGCAGCTCTCAAACCTGGCTGCACACCAGGTTCACTTCAAAAGCTTCTGGAAAAGCTAGTGCCTTGGGCCCACCCCAGAGACAGGTATAGCCCAAGGTGAGAATCAGGGGACCAGCAGGCAGACCTCTGCCAGGCAGCATGGGCAACAGCATGTGCTGGGTGAATATGCAGCCTGCACTCATCACCCAGAAAGCCCCACTGTGTCCTATCCACACAAGAACAGGCCACCAAGGTCCCAGGCCCCACTCTCCCTTCTCACTTACTTTGTGAATGAGAGCTCACCAACAGCTTACCATCTTTTGAGTGTTGCGGCCTCACTGTAGCACGGGTGATAGGGCTGCAAAGGCCACAAAACAGATCCTCCCCTTTAAAGGGGCTCAGGCCTCAGTGTGGTAATGGGAGCGGCCCCTTCCCACACTTGCCAGAGAGAACCCACCCACCCACCCAGAGGAATGAAGCCAAAGCCCATGCCGCAGGGCAACAGCCCAGAACGGGAGGGGACAAGTCTGTACAGCAGCCACACCCCTGCCAGAGCCAGGAGCTCTTCCATCTCCACAGCAGGCCAACTCCCACCTGGAAGCACCCACCTCGCCAAACCCAATCCCTGCCTTCCCTTAGTCAGACTGGGAACTGCCACGGGAAGGCTGCGGACTCCACACGCACCCTCCTCACCACACCTGGTGTGTGATCACCCTCAAAAAGAAAACACGCACCTATGATCCTACAATGCGCTGCCCACCTCACAAGAAACAGGTGCCTCTACATTAGAGGCACCTGGCTGACCTATCCCTGTCCCCTGTACCATCAGAAAGACCTCCAAGTCCCCCTCTTCTATTACCAAGGCTGCACTTCCAATCCCCTCCACCCATTAACATTACCAAAAA